GTTACGTAGTAGTAGTATATATATATATATATATATATATATATATATATATATATATATATATATATATATATATATATATAAATCTATATATGTGTAATCTATATATGTGTTTTGTGAAAAATCTATAATCATTACGAATCATATACCATAATGTGCTTATTTTGCTTAACAAATAATATGGGATTAATTAATTAATTGGTATTAACATTAAAAAAGTTAATATGAAATTAATACCTTAACATCGCCGTGAATAAGTTCGCCATCATGAATATATTCCAATCCAGCTAAAATTTGTTTTAGTATTGTAGCAATTACAGGCTGAGTTAATAGACCTCTAGTTAGCGCATTTCGGCCGCCCATTGACTAAAATATATGTTAAAGAAATGTTTAGAATTATTCACTAATTAGTGAAATTAGTAAAATCAATTTCAATGAATTTCGCTTGTTTTTTTTTAGCATTATAATTAATTGATTGGACTTATTGTTATTAACCAATTAATTAGTAACCAAAAAAAAGAAGAAATATTGACAAAAGATATTAATGGTATATAAACAATGATGAATATATATATATATATATTTAAATATAATTGACACTTTATTATTCATTCAAAATAATGTATAAACATTCTTAATATTATTGGTATTTTATCTATTACAATATGTTAAAAATTTTTTGAGATTAAATTCACAGTTAATTAATTAGGGTAAATTCAATTCAGTTATAAAATTTTGTACCACTAATTCTTTTATTTTGAATTAATCAAGTATGAATTTAATATTATATATAAGATATACAGAAAATTAAATTTTCGATAAAATGGTTTTGAATAAATTATTCATATACATTTATAATCTTTGAACAATGATTGAATTTTAATTTGACTAACTAACTAATATTTACCGTGATTAGACGATCCATAATTTGGCGCAGACTTCCACGATCAAGCAATCGCATCACCACCCACATATTGCCTCCTACATAAAATGACGTATAATAGCTAACAATATTAGTATGTCGACATATCTTTAATGCCTAAAAACGTAAGAAAATTAAATTAAATATGTTCCAAATTAAGGAATGAAGGAAATAAAATAAAATTAAATATGCCCCTAATTAGGGTATCAAAAACAAAAAGAAAAAAAAATGAAACTAAATAAAATATGCATGCAAATTAATTATCTCTAGTAATTAATTGCATAACAGATTATATGCTTAAAACAAAATTTCTTCATTTTCATTTTGCAAATTTAATTTTCAAAATTTTAGAAAATTAAACCATTTCAAAAATAATCTGAAATTATTATCCATTTAATATAAATTTAAAAAGAAAAGAAGAAGTATACCCTAATTTCTTTCCCCAATTGTGCTAAATCATAGTTTTCTAAATTAATCCGTTTAATTGCGCATATTTCTCTTCGCTCCACACAAACACCCTAAAAAATGAGTCTTTTTTTTTTTTTTTTCTCTCTTTTGTGACATTGAAATTTAGTAAAGGGAAAAAAGAAGAAATTCATTCCTTCCAACTATTTCAATTTCGTATCATGATCATTACATGATAATATGATATGCAATTGGACATATTTTATCAGAACCGAATATTGTACCGAAGTGATTAGCCGGATATTATAACAAAATGAATAACCGGATATGACATTAAAATAAATAACCGGATATTATATCAAAGAAAAAAGATGATCGGAGATTATGTTGAATAATCCTATTGCATTATCATTTTATAATTAATTACTTTTTTCTCCTTTCCTTATTGCTAAATTATTTATTTATTTATTTATTATTTTTGGATTAGAAAAATCAAACTAATTTGATTTTTCTTCAATCTTTTCATTTAAATTATATCATCCCTTCAATTTTTTTCATTTGAATCTTATGGCTTAATTTGAATTTAACAAAATTTACTAACAAAATTTCAATATTATTTTATTATTTACCACAAAAATTCAAACCCTTTAAAAAAAAGAAAAGAAAAATGAATCGAACATTTCATTACTTTATATTTATTTGAATGTGTAAAAAGCAACACAAAGTTTGCAGCTTATGGCCTAAGCCAAATTTAACTTTAAACATTAAAAAAGAAAAAAAACAGAAATCATAAATTTTATCATAGATAATGTAACCCTATAAACGGTTGATATTGCACCATTTCCAATAATTTCCACCAGCCTATAGTCTTCTCTGCTACTTGGCCAAGATGATTCTTCGACATGTTGCTGATGATGAATTTGTGATGATGATTCGCCAGATTCTTCCATTACAGACACTTCCATGCTACTTGGCCCAGAAACATCTTGCTGTGACATTTCGGATAATTTGCCAGATTCTTCCAATTCAGTTTCACTTTCAGCCATAACTATAACAAATTGATAAATAACGATTAAGTAATATAATCCCAAATAAAATTACTTGTTTAGTTACTTACTTACTGTTACTATTTACTACTACTACTACTACTACTAGAACTACCACTACTACTTTAAGCGCGTTTTAGCAGAGCAAAGTTATTAGGTAAAGTAGAATGGAGAATATTCTGGAATAAATATTACTTACTATTTCAGCGAAAAAAAAATTGGAGAGAAGTCGAGAAAAAAAAAACAGAAAGAAAAGCCTACCATTACATATTAATCAGTTTAGTTAAATTTTAATATAATAAATAGGTGAGGAAGTCTTTTTTCTTTTTATCAAATCGGATTTAACCTTAATTTATTGCATCAGATTTAATAGGAAAATTGAATTCGAAGTTTTTTCATTGTGTTTTAATCAAATTTCAAGTTTAATTCAATCAAATTTATTGTTCAATATGAATTGAACCACAAAATCTTATCATTTTAAAAATCTCAAATTATTAAAAAAACAAAACGCAAAACCAGCTTGCGAAATTTATGTACATATATACAAATTTCCTTCGGCCCAAAAAAAATTGGGAACTAACTTGAAAGATGATAGTTTTTAATTCATTGATCAAATTAAATTTGGAATAATTCAATTCATAACGGTATAATCAATAACCCATTTGCTTGAAATGAAAGTTGAAAAAATAGAAAATCTGGAAAGAAAAATTTTCAGATGTTATAAGAATTACTTTGTTTTAACTGTAATACCGAATAGTGGTAATTAATTTGGTGAATATTATTGTAGATGATAGTGATTTTCTCCTCTAACTGTGAGCCAATTTAATGATATTCGGAATGGTAGCATGTATTTTTGCATGGTTTTTTGAATTATTTCTGGAGTATTGATTTTTTCTTTTTTTATTTTGCCAAATCATTCGCAATCACTAATTTATAATCATTAATTGATGAGTTACAATAAATAAATGGATAACATAACAAACAATGAACAATAACACAAAGAAATGATAACCGGCACTATCAACTTTTTATCATACTATTATTTTTCACCCTTAGTTAATTTTCTTCCTTCACAATTATTTTCCATGTCTTTAAGTTTAATTTCAATTGTTCGAATTTTATTTTCAAAATTGTCAACTGCTCTGTCAGTCAGCTCAGTAGATTACTTCGATTTCCATTTTTTAAGATCACATATTACGTAATTTCTATTAATACCAGCATTATATTATTGAAGTCTAAAAGATTATATTAACTACATTATTTACATTCTAATACCTTAAGTACTTTCACGACAGTAGATAAAACCGTTCATTTAGTATGTATTAAAAATAGCCTCAATTTATTAACTAAAAAACATCAACCGCGAATTGAAACCTGAATTGTCGACTTTTGCAAAACCTGATTTATTCGTCCACAGAAAAAATTCACCTCAAATAACCCTATGGAAAATTATCACAGCGGTTAAGTAACATCGATAATTGCTCCCTAATTGTTTACTATTCTACTACTGCTTCTTTTGCTATTGCTAATTGGGACTGTTGTCGATGTCATTGCCATGTTCAGCATTGCATTGCATTGTTTACGTTGACGTCCGATAAACGATAAGATCCTGTGGTAAGAGTAAGATAAATGAAATCATTATAGCACTGAACGACAAAATAAAAAATCATGATGAATCAAAGCAATCTTTGTTTTACAAAAATATTTCGCAAAATAAGAAAACTTCACAAAAAAAAAGTTCTGAATCCAAAGAGCATCTAATTGATATCACCTAAGGATATCCTAATTATACGACTCCATTCATACTTTTTAACACGAAGTGATAGTATTCTCGAATTTTGCCAAAGAAAATAGAAAGCACATGAGGATGACCAATACACCCAAAAAAAAAAAGAAAAAAGAAAAATGATCGCCTTAGTGCTAAGAACAAATTACCAAAACAATTGCAGAAAGAAAAGTATACTTTTAAAGGTGCTAATCTATCGACCATATTAAGACCAAAGGAACGCATAAGAATGAGTGGCGTACTACTCGTCGAATAAAGTCTATTCAACCAATCACATGCCACCTGCACAGGTACATTCCGTCGTTGTGCATGTGTATCATAATCGGACAAATACGTAAGCGAACCTGAAATATTCGTCGAAATTATGATTCTCAAATAAAAAAATTAAACCAACTGAAAAACCGACTTACCTAAATCACCACCATCAATTACACATTGTTCCAGGCAACTTGTCAATATTTTCACATCACTCCATCCGAGATTAACTCCTTGTCCAGCTAACGGATGAGTACGATGAGCCGCATCACTAAAAAATTTTCAAATCTTATCATACCTTAATTTAATTATAAATCACTAATTCTTTAATTAGATTTAATTCATTCATTTACGCATATGGCGAGATTGTGATTATTTTAAAGACCAATAATATCACATCTCAGTGAATAATTATAGAAAAATTAACCCAATCAGCGCAGCTCTTGGTATAATATAACTATAGCAATGTCCAAAAGCCAGTGGAAATCCTGCACGAGTATCTTCATATAAGGATGTAACCGTCGGAAAAGTAAGTCTTGGCTTCTCACTTACGGAAAATACTCCTTTTAATAGTTGTTCCGTTAGTGATAAAAACTGATTTGTTATGGAATTTTGATGAATGTCAGTGGTCTGAAGAAAAAATTTAATCTTTTCAGACAGAAAAATTGTCAACTGTTAGATCCCAAATCCTTAGCAATTTAAAATACTACATATTTTGTAATTCATAATTCTCTACGAAAAAAATGTTTATCATGTATGATACATAAATTTCATGGATGTTATTAATTTCCAAAAATCTTGTCAAAATCACTAAACACCCCCACGTGATTCATTTATATTAAAGTTAAAACATTAATAGCACAGATTATTCTCTCTTCTATTTTAGCTGACGAAATTGAATCGAATTCAAAGATTTCAAGAATTTAAATTGAAGGATTTACCAAAAATTCATTAAGCTCATCAACAAACTTTTCCGGTGGTAATGAAAGCAATTCTTCAGCATGCTCTGTATTTGTCGACCATGTCACTGAACTCATATTTTCAGTAAGTGGTAGCAGAGCTACAGGACCACTTGGCGTAAATCTTTCCCATGCAACGCAATTATTTTCCATCGGAAATGATCGTTATTTTGTCTATACTTCTAACCAAAATTTTATTCAGATTATTATACATGTGACAATTTGTAGAGAAGATTAAAGATCAATTTCTTCTCTTTTTTTTTTTTTTTTTTGTAGGGAGAGGGAAGAGGAGAATTATGTTTTGCTTAATGCTAATCAGATCATGAAACAGGAGATACATTTTCATGACTTAATTTAGAAACGATGAAAAGTGATATGAAACTTTTAAATGAATGAAACTAGAACTCAATCGGCCATATAAATTACTGAAAATTTCTTTACCTAGTAAAGCAGAAAAAAGTGAATGTATAAAAGACTGGAATTAAGTGATGGAAAAAATGTTCAAGAAATGGCAATAACTGATTAATGACAAAAGATTATGCTTCAACATCACGAGTTAACCCTATGCATAATATGTCCGAAACAGTATGGATAATAAAAGGGAGAGAAAGATCCTAGGGTAAAAAATAAGCCTCACTTTTTAGAACAAAATATAATGGTTTTGAATTTTTCTATGCAATCCGAAAACTAAAAAACTTACAGCTTGCACCTGAAGGTTTGCAACCACTGCTGACTGTCCATATCCCCATGAAGTGTATTTGAAGTTGAGCATATCTCTCACCACACTTCTAGCACCATCGGCACCAATCTATAAAATTTCTTCATCCTCACACATTATATTGAAGATGTAAGCCATATTTTGCAATCTAACGGCTTAAATTTACTGTTTACCCAATAATGCATTTAGCTATTTATATTTTTTAACTAAGAAAAATCAATAATTAGTTTAACCAATATTACCTCATCTTATTGAAATCCCAATGAGTAACTAAATATGAATATTATTTCAAGATCCCTAAAGATTTCGCAAATACTAACAATAAGAGATGTTTGCAATTTAGTTCCATCATTCAGTATAACTGTAGCAAATTCATCCAAACTAGATGGAGTTCTGAAAACAACTTTGTTTTGCAAAGATACAATTCATGATGTTAGTATGACAAACTTTTCGTGGTATCCAAAAATGGTGTAGTCCCAAGAAAAAAAGTTTTTTTTTTTCTCTATCACCATACCTACAGTCAACTACTTTTGCTTTCGTCCTAACTGTGACATTTGGGCAGTTTGATTTGATACGATTTGAAAGAAATCCGATGATTGCATGGTTTTCGATCATATAAGCGACTTCGTTGGTTGGATCTGGCTGGGCAAATCGTATTGATGAATGTGAACAACTGTCCAGAACCTATATATGTATTATTTTTTTTTTCTTTCTCTCCATATATATATATATATATATATACATATATGTATATATATATAGTCCCGTAGTTCTTTTTTCTACTTTATAATTTTACTTTACAAATAAATTTCGAACAGGGTTAAATTTTGCATTAAAGTTTTGGAAGTTTGAAAAAGAAACCGTGAAGTCTTTATAGATGATTCTGTCAGCATTTAACTAATATTTAATTGATTCTCAAACGTATACTTTATGATAACCAAATGTTTGTGATAACTATAAGATAATGTTTATGATAACTGTAAGAGATTTATGACAACCCATAAGAGTGCTTGCTTATTAAGCTTAAATCAATCAATTAATTCTAACAAACAAACCTAGTACTTCCAATTCAATTATGACTCAGTTAAATATACATATTTTACTTGCTACGATCAAGTAATTTTTAAAGGACCAAACCTGAAGTCTATCAACTCGCTTCACTCTCAAATCCACAAGATCATTCCAAATTCCCAATTCTGCAAGTTAATTGCTGTATAAGAAGGAAATTCAAGATAGGAGTGTAAGGGAATAATCAAATAAAGTAGGTTAGTCGTACTTTGGAAAAGTAATACAGACGGAGGTGATACTGCTGTAACTCGATTTCCATATGGTGAATTTTTTATCGGTGCTTTAATTTCTGCTGAATCCAGCACAAGTATCTTTTTCGATTTGAAACGTTTATTCAATCCTGGAACAAAATAACAATTTGTCATTCTACGAGCAAATAACGATGTTATGTTTTCTAAATTATGTTTTTTTAATGTTCCATAAAATGTTTATATTTTAATAATTGCATTTGCAAAACAAAATAGTTCGTAATCTTCATGTCAAAACATTCTTTTTCATGTTGAATTTGGTAAAGATCAATGAAATATATTATATCAAACACAGAGAATGAGAATGAAAATAGAATGTCCAAAAATGTTCAGATAAATTATATCAAAATTCGACCAGTTCTCCAACCATACTTTCCCAAAAACACAAAATACCAAAACTCGATTAACTAACCAAGAGAGCAAGCCATCGCATTACCAACCATTCCACCACCAATTATGATAATATCATAGAAGGAATTGATTGTTGTTGTTAGTGTCGAAGAACATCTCGTTAATGAATAAATTCTCGATATCATGGATACAACTGATATCACAAATACAATACTCTATAAATATTTTCCTTTATTTCAACAAAATTTACCGTATATCAATTTCATTTCTTTACAATATATCATATCTTTTTTGCAAATATATCATATATCGATTTCATATATTATATCATTTTTATATAAATTATATCACTTTATCACTGCATTATTTTCATATAAAATTTACTATATATCATTGTATCAATTTTATATATTTGTTGCATAAATAAAAAGAAAAAAAAAACTATTTTTGGCATTGTCATTCATTACAGATAATCAAACAATGAATGATTTAAATCATAATGGATAATTTAAATAATTAGAATTTCGCTAACAAATAATTTCTATGCATAGACCGTTGCATTCATTGGGAAGAAAAAAAGAGATGAGCAAGTTCAATTTAAGCCAAAATAATAGAAACTTAGATGCAAATAAGGAAAGCTAATCATGAAATTAAAACTGTGAAATAACTGAAAGTGAAAAATTGTTGATGGAAAAAAGAATACCACGAATTCCATTCATAACGCATTCCTGCTTTCTCATCACCTATCCTATATCAAGATTTCTCAAATTTCTCCTACATCAGGATCTCTCGAAATCTTCCTACATCAGAATCTTTCGAAATCCTCCTGCACCAGGATCTCTCGAAATCCTCCTACATCAGGATCTCTCAAAATCCTCTTGTATTAACATTTTTAAAGCTACGAACGAAATGCTACCTCTGTCTTTGACCAACATCATTTTAAACCGGAAATAACATTCAGTTCTTAGAGTTTTAATCATTTTAATTAATTAAAACTTTTTAGCTGAAGGTATAAACACACACACACATACACACACACACATACATACATGGACACATACATACATAGACACATACATACATACATACATACATACATACATACATACATACATACATACATACATACATACATACATACATACACACATACACACATGCACAGAAACAGACAGACATACACAATTACATACATATCGCATACAC